TTTAAAATTCGATCACGTGTTGAAAAATCCATGAAAAGTCTAAGAAATCCTGTTGTTATGAGTCCTTGTTCTGATTCTTCAATCCTATGTAACTTGAAAAACGAAGAGGCGCAGAGAAGCATCAAAAAGCGAGAGAGGACGGGAGAGGAGAGGAAGTTTTTTAAAAATTCGAAGTAAAAACTTGAGAAAAATTTTTTCTTTTTTCTTCTCAGCCACTTTCCAAAATGGAAGCAAATACTACGAACTAAGAATAAAGCAGGAAAAATAGCTGATTTCGAAACAAAGTACTCCAGTCTTGCAGTAATTAGTAAGAAACCGAAGTCTACCTTCTCTTCCCGTGGTCCAGACGTTCTCGAAGAAATAAGGTTGTTCTAATATCACTTAAATTTTGATGCTTCAGACGTGTGAACAGTTGTCACCTTATGTTTGAATTATTTCACTTCTGTTTCTATTATATTGTAAGTTTGAGAACAAAATGTCTGGCAAACAGGAAAAAGAATAGAAACAAGGAATGGTTTCGATTTCAAATCATTGTTAATTAATATGACGCGTTATCATATACTGTGTGTTGTTTCTATTTTAAAGTCAAAAGTTTTGCTGCTATAAAAGAGTTAAGACAAATATAGATAACGCATAGTCATGTAAACATTATGTCACAATACTGGAAACGATTTATTTCCCTCTGGTATTGCTTAAAAGATTTTCTGACATTTGATCAAATTAATGATTTATTACCATCTACGTAGAGTAGAGTCTATTATTAACATATACTAGTTACAGCTGCTGCCTTTTACCATACGTTATACCAACTTTTGTGCTAATAAGATATTGAAACCTTTTAAAGAAGCTAGAGCTTTGTGCAAAAAAAAATGTCTTCTTGTTAGAAACATTTTTCGAAAAGATATCTCTTCTTAGAACATTAAATATGAAAAAATAATAAAATCTTAATACAAAATCCACAAAAAATGTTAAAAATACGTTCTGAAATGATATTAGCATCTTTTTAAACGTTTATTAATATATTAAAAATAACTATGACTGTGAATATTGTAGTGTTTTTGTCACTAGCAATATTATCAACTTCTTATCTTTATCACCAAGTAGCGTTATCTATCGAATATGTAATGTTATATAGACTGTAGGGAAAAATCAGAATCATATCGCGATAGAAATCATTAATCGCATCGAATATAAAAGAAGAAAAAAAATATGTAACGGAAAACAATAGGAAGAGAAAATTTGACTGTAAAGAAGAAGAGAAAAGAGTATATGCAGTGAGTAACAATAGAAAAAGGAAAAGCCAGCAGCAAGCATCAGTTAACGGTAATCCGTAAGTACCAAATCGACCAGTATGAACAATCAGTAATAAACAGAATAGGTAGTAGTAGAAGAAAGAGAAGATTTGACAAATTTTTGTTTTGTTTTTCTTTTGTTCTGTTCGTTATTTCAAAAAAAATTTTTTTTTTCATTGTTCTTTTAAATTTCACGCATACTACTGAAAGGTACATACATTAAAAAAGACAAATATATACACATTTGTGTAAGAATTTCTTTTTTTTAAACTTTTGAAAAATGTGTGAATGACAATTGTTCATACACTCGACCATTTATATTTTTGTTCGATTTTTTTTTTTCATATTAACAACATCCGATGTTAATTCTTTATTTTTGATTTCATACTTACGTGAAAGAAAGAGACAATAACATCAGCAAATTTTATATTTTTGTTAAAAATGGTGAATATTTATGATACTACATGCACTTAATAGTGGAACAAAAATTAGGTATAATAGAATATGTTATATTTATTGTACAGTTTTTTATGATGGATAACATTATTATTATTATTTCACATTCACTCTATTCACATGGTAAGTTTAATTTTGAGCAATATGTATATATATATCTTCTAAATATAACCAGCCACGTTGCCCAAGAGAAAACAAAAGAAAAAGGTGTGACCACTATTTAATTTGAAGTGTATTTAAAAGAATAAAGAATAATTATTCTACTTTAATATTCGTTTGAAAAACTTTTGTCTTTAAGATAACTAAATAATTGAAAATGGTCAAAAGACTTAACAAATTCCTAAAATGTGATATATTAAATATTTGGATAAAAAAGACCTAGTGATCTATTTCCTAATCCAATATCATTCCATTCTCTTTCTTTCAATATGTTTAAAATCAACTTCTTTGATAATGAAATAGATGTCTGTTTTTTGAAGTTTTGACAATTAACTACTAACTTTTTAGATGAAACTCCTTATGGGTATAAGATACTTTCAACGTGTCTATTATCTTTGACGTGATGAAATAGGAATAATGTGCGTGTCTTTTATTTTTTCATGCAAATTTTAATATAAGAAGAAGGATTTATCAAGATTATCTTCTCACATTCTCGACTTTCGTTTTTTTTTCTTTTTTGTTTTTTTTTTTTTTTTGTTTTCTTTTTTTTAAATACGTATTAACGAGTACAGTTATATAAAACGATGTCGTCTCTTTTTCGTTTATTAATTATTAATTATCTTTATATATATTACATTTATACTTGCAACACTGTTCATTAATTTGGTAATAAATTCTAACTGTATAAACAAACACATTTATTCTCAATTTCTTTTCTTTCTCTCTTTGAAAAGGTGCACATGTGAGAAGAAGAAGAAAAAGAGAAGACAGCAGTTATATTATTTTTAGAAACATATTGCACCTGCGTGTTGATTGTAACTTGTCAACTACCCTCTGCGACTATTTAACAGTTCATTTTGTCTTACTATATATGTTAATGCAATAAACATAAATTCTTCTCTCTTTTTTTTTCGTGTTTTTTTTTCTAAAAACTCAAGTGGCAACGAAATTACTGTGTACATGTCACACACACATACAAAAAAAAAAAAAAAAGTCTATCGTTACAAAAGGACCTCTCTCGTGTGTGTGTGTGCTCTTTTTTTTTTTAAAATGTTGAGTAATTTATACACACGAAATAAAATACTTGTATGTTTAAGAGAGAGAAAGAGAGAGAGAGAAGGAGAAGAGATGCAAAATAAAATGAGTAATTATTAAAATAACTATTCTATTAACGTATGTGTCTGTGTGAAACAATTATGTATGGACAATATAGGTAATTTATACTTGTTCATTCTCTATATTCTAGTTGTTCATTTTGACATTTCAATTGATTCAACATTCTTATCAAAATATTATACAGATAAAGATTCATTATGATAGATAGATTAAGATGTGAAGACAGAGAAATATCTTCTATATATAGTAAAAAATTTTGACAGATGTTGTAAATCATATTAGTTATAACCAAAGATAAAAAGACTGATACGGATAAAATTTATAATTTATGACACGTTAGCTGTTTAGGTCAGACAGATTCAAGAGTGTAATTAGTTTGTTTCATCTCAAAGAAAAAAAAACAAACAAACAACTAAAGTGTTATAATTTCAAAAATCAATTCATTATCGAAAGAAAACATGCGATCTAAAATTATAAAAAAAATATTCATTTAACAGTTCAAAAAAGAATTATAATTTGTTTAATTATTAAAATTTTATTGTCAAATTTTATTCTATATTCTATAGTTTAAAAGATAAAAGATTAAGCTTTTTTGTTTTTTAATATTATACTCGAAAACAAGTTGTTTTATCTTTTTATTTTTAGCGATAATGAAATTTTTTTTTTTTTTTTTTTTATTTATCTAACTGAGGAAATGATTAATAAACTAACACGTAAATAATTTTTTTTTTCTCGACAGTCGAATGTCACATAGTTAATAGAACAAGAGAAGCCATTTATTTATTTTTAATATTTGATATATGAAGATTGAACATATAGGGACATGCTCACGTGCTGAAAACACCGAGAATCTAAAAATAGAAATAAATAGTAGATTCGTCGATTTATTTTATGGAAATTATATTGACAGTTTCAAAATATTATAATCAAACTAGTTATAATCACAAGACAAAAAAATATAATCTTAAAATAACTATAAAAAAACAAAAAAAAAAAAAAAAAGAATAAAAAATCTGTTTGTGTTTAAAAAAGAAATGTTTTGCAAGTAAATTTTTATGGTTTCTTTCTATGATTACTTTTAAATATAACAAATGATAAACAACTAAAATTTTTTTTTAATTTTCACATTGAAAGACAAAATATATGTGGGATTCATGTAAAATGTCATTGTGATAAAAAGAAAACATACAATACAATAAAAATAAATAGGAGGTTAAATAACTCTATTTAATAGTGAGTTGTTGTTGTTGGTTTTTCGGCTTATTGATGTTATTATTTATTTTTTTAGAGTTAAGTATTTTGTACTCAAAGAATGATAGAGAGTTTTGACTACTTTACATGCCATTGTATGATGGTTTTATTTATTATACTAAAAAAAGAAAAATCTTTGAATAAGATGTTCTCGAAGTATATACGTGAGAGTTCATGAATATGTCAATAATAAAAAATTTTGGACTTTTACTAGTTCAACAAAATTCATTAGTTTAAAACATATGTGGGAGATTTTAGAAAAAAACGAACACCATTTATTTTTTCTAAACATGAATTTCTAATTTTGATTAAGATCGTCTATAGTAATCTAAAAAACATTTGAAGAAATTGATAAAGTGTAAAGCGAGAGATTTCAGTCGTATTCTATGTAATATCTGTTATTTGAAAACCTTAATATAATGAAGTTTAGAAGCTTTTTCATAACTTTCATATTTACTTGTATTAAAATTAACTTTTGCACAATTATTTTTTTTTTTATAAATAGTCGTTTAAAGAAAAAATTATTTTTAGAATAATAGCAGATGTTTTTTCTACTGTCTTCTACATTCAAATGGCTTCTATTTTAATGAAACTCAAGTTAAAGAATAGATTGTCATAATTTCAGCTGCCTATTGTATAGAAACCTATTTATTTTTATTTTTTATTTAGACAACAAAATATTTTCAAACACCCTAATAATACGGTCATAGTGCTATTTTTGCCCACATGATTCTTGCGTTTACAAAATTATACAGCAGTATTAATCAGAGATCGACAAAACAGAACAAGTGGAAACTATCTGCGACAACAACACCACCACCATCATTTCCATTAATTAGTTTTAATTTAACAGTGTTAACACTGCTACAATTTATCAATTATACAAATTCAACAACAAAAGCTGTAGTCTCAACATTCTCCACTGTTAATGAAACATCATGGCCAACAATAGCAAATGTTTGCATACCAGAAGTAATCGATCAAAGTTTAATTTATTATTCATTACCCTATCGTATTATGGCTGGTCTATTAATTGTACCCATAACAATTTGTGCCATAGGTGGAAACATACTTGTTATCTATGTCATTAAACATTTTCAATCATTAAGAATAACAGGTATGTATAAGTTTAGAAAAATATAAACTTAATATAATTTTAAATTTTTAGGAAATGTTTTTTTGGCATCATTGGCAGTTGCTGATGTTGGTGTTAGTACGACGGCTATGACATTTTATGGTTTACAGTTATTAACTGGTAAATGGATATTAGGTGCATTTATGTGTCGTCTCTGGTTTTCGTGTGATGTTTTATTTTCAACAGCATCTATTAATCATTTAACATGTATATCATTAGATCGTTATTTATCAATTGTAAGACCATTCGAACATAAACGAAGTTCTAGTGAAAGACGACGATGGTTAATGATCGCTCTATGTTGGATATTATCGTGCTTACTATCCTTTATTCCTATATTTACCGGTATTTATACGTCACGTAGTCAAATACACGATATTAATTGTCTAAACAAAGTAACAGGACGATGTTTGTTCATTGTTAATCAAATATATGCCATTGTTTCGTCTTGTGTATCGTTTTGGGTACCCGGTGCTGTGATGGTAATTATGTATGCAATGCTAATAAGAATTGCTGATGCAAAAGAACGTGAAGTATATAAGACACAAGTGCATGTTAGACGACGAACATCAAATGTAAATGCTGTCACACTTATGAGACGTTTAAGTGAGGAAAATGCAGCCGCACGCTCAAGTCTAATTGATATTCGAACATCACGAAATCAATTACAAACAAATAACAATAATAATCAAACAGCAAATAATCGTCGTATTACTCACAGTGAATCAACGTCACAAAATATGCAACATCAGCAACCACAAAGAGATAGAGATAGAGATAGAGATGCTGATCTCGACACACCAAATGATGAACGTCGATCTATTGATATTGCTGGTAACCTTTTAGATCCAGGAATTAGTCAAGTACGACATTTAAAACGTGAACGTCGAGCAGTTAAAACATTGGGTGCAATTATGATTGCATTTATTGTTTGTTGGCTACCATTTTTTGTACGTTATTCAGCGTGTGAACCAAATCGTTGCCGATGGAAATATATGCCAATTGTTGAAGATCTTGTATTTTGGATTGGTTATTTTAATTCGTGTATTAATCCGTTTCTCTATGCATTTCATAACAAAGATTTTAGAAATGCCTTTCAGAAAACGTTAGGACCATTTTTTTCATGTTTTTGTCGATTTTGTCGTGAAAGACGTCAAAGTATAAACAGTGCTACTCAAGTAGCAATTAATGCGGGTCTTGCCACTACTGGCGCTGGCAATCCTTCATTACCCGCAAAAAAGAGAAAAGTAAAGAAAAAAAGATCTGTTAACAATTATATTAGTGACAACGTTCCACGTGCTGCACATTCAAATGGAACGTCAAATAATTTGAACGGTGGTGGAGAAAATAGCAGTTCATCTAAACGAAATTCTTGTACTTAGTTGTTATTGATTCACAATTGCAATGTTAAGTGCCTTTTTTTGTATTGTGGCTTTCTAAAACTGAAACTGTGATCTATACACTCTCACTCTATCTCGATCGAAAATTGTTTAAATGTCCTAATCTTTTGTTGCTTGTTTTTTCATGTTGCTATTTTTCTTTTTCTTTTTCTTTTTATAGTCTAAGTTTTGTGCTTGAAGCCCGGTGAATAATTATTATTTTTTAGAGAAAAAAACACTGTATTGTACAAAAATAAAATACAACCAGCTTTCATACATATTCACATATGAGAATTCATCAAATTAAATAGTTTTGTTTTTAAACTGAGAATTGCAGATTTATCTTTTGTGTGAGATATTATCCTCTATTAATGAGATGATATGGCAAAATATATTAAGTCGAAAAACATTAATAATTTCAGACTTCGACGATTGATAGAAGTGTGAGGTATGTTCGCGATGATCAGTTCTCTTTTCGATGTTCTATAGTCAAAATAATTGGAAAAAAAATGACCTTTATTGAAAAGATATAAAATTAACAATGAATTATGAATAATTTTTTTAGGAAAAATAACTCTAATATGATTTTAACACAAAACAATATATTTAGCCTATATAATATATACAATTATCATCACCGTTGTAATGTTTCAGTTTTATGTGGTAAATAATCGACTAATATCTTTAATAATTTGTTGAGCATTTTTAACATAATTTACATCTTGAACACGAAGACATGTTAGACGAAGACGATTTTCATTCTAGAAATAAAACATGACACAAGATACGAAAATTCAATATATAATATGTATTTTAAATCCACTTACATTGTATGTTTCAACTTTTGCACGAAGACGAAATATTTTCTCTTTATACTGTGCTTTTATAATGATTTTAATAAGACCTTCATCATCCTGCAATAGAAAAGAAATCTGGCTCTATTGAATTGATTCGTCAACGGCGTAAAATCAATTTTTTATTGAATTGAATTATATTTAAATTTTCGAAACGTGTTATTTGGGATCAGGACGATTCCAGCTGTCTATTGATAAAAAAATTTCGTCTCAGATCAAGTTTTTTTAGCGAAAAAGAGTTTTTTCTCAAACGCGGTGATTTTTCCGAGAACTATGTTCAGTGTAATGAGTTTTCGAAATTTTCCAAAACTCTAAATTCGTTGAGAATTTCACAGAATGAGTATCGACATAGCCTGAATTTGTGGTGATAGCAGTTTTATGCAGTTTTTCTTCTAGACTGAGATCTAGGTTTTCTAGAAAACCGCCGACTTTCCAGGTATATCCCATTTCTCTTAGCTTAGAAACACTTTTATTGAAAACTAAGATCATATTTGGAATCAGCGCAGAAAACTGCATCGAATCATGTAGCTTGAATTAATTTTACAAGAGAAAATTTTTTGGACAACGGTAAGGGTAATTTCCGTTGGAAAAAAAATTGTTTTCGATTTCATTGTTGTTTTTATCGACATTTAGAATAAATGGCAGTAGCACTGACGAGGGAAGGTCCCTAACTGATAATCGCTTTTGAGTGGAAATCTAGTGGATTATAGGTTATCGACCATGCTGATTACGAACATGACTATGGGGATTCCTCATAGCCCTTCGAAGATCCGGTTTTTTGGAAAATCAGTTTTTTAGAAACTCTAGAAGGTAATCAAAACCTTTTTTAATAATGCATGATTGTAGCCCACAAATTTCTGATTAAAATGAGATATCTCCCAGCTCTACAAGACCTTTCTTTACAAAGTTATAGAATTTACAATAAAAGCCCTCAATCCTCATGATCATATTCGTAATCAGCATGGTCGATAACCTATAATCCACTAGATTTCGACTGAAAAGCGATTTATTAGTTAGGGACCTTCCCTCGTGAGTCAAAATAACCGATTTTCGACTTTGAAAACTGCATGTCCGCCTGGTCTATAGAAAAATGATCACTGTGGTACGGTAATAGAACTGTGGAACAATTCATTACTCTCGAAAAAAAGGTTAAAAATATCCGGAAACAGATTGACGTCTATGACATAAAAACAGTGCTAAATGACGTAGAAACGAGGCATTAGCAATACTGTTTTAAATCACTTGTGCAAAATCAAGCAACTACCATAAAAAGTTTTTATTTTATTTTACTCACGCCATATTTTGCGTTACCAAATTGTTCAGCAGAAACTCCCAATAGTGTTTCGGCTTGGGTACCGAAAACACTAATCCATTGTGAACCAGTAACATCAGAAATTTCACACTGAATAAAAAAACAAATTTTTGAAACAAAATGATTGTGGATTATTACAAATACTTACTTGTGCCATATATACATAACGATAGTCATTATAATCTTTATTACATTTTTCGCAATGAAATGTACCATCACCATTTTCGATTACTTTTTTGTTACAATCGACATTTGGACATGCCTATAGTGTGTAAGTAGCAAAAAGTATTTTAAGTAATTCATTTTGACTGTTCATTTACCGTATAAACCGTTAAATCTTTTTTAATATGATTGCAAACAGCTTTAACTTGAATATAATCGACTCGATTATTTATACCAAGATTTTCATCAACAATTTGTCCTAATGTTTTAAATTCTAAAATAAATACAAATTTTTTCACTTATAAAAACCAATTATGATAGTGACAATCGGGTATCAATTTTTTTGATCACAGAAAAAGATACTTTTGATCACCAAATTTTTCTCAGCATGCATCTCACATTTTTATTTCTCAACAAAGTATAATGTATAACACAAACATATTTATTGAGACTTTAACCAGATGAACAATATTTTTACAGTTTTATTTACATCTAGTTAAAAATTTAAAGCTGTGCTAACTTTCTTGGGGCGCTCTTTTGCTTTTCGTTTGCCTAGTGAGGTAGAATCGTGTTTTATCGCTAACTTGATACAAGTTAAATAAAATTGCTAATCCAACAAACTGTTTACACGAATATACTAATAATGGTACAACAAGCCAACAGAATAGTTGCCACACCAGAAAACTATAGAATGTAGCATTGGCTAGGTATTTATCGTTCTCGTTGGTAGGTTATATTCAATGGTTTTCTGGTGTGGCACTATTCTGTTGGCTTGTTGTAGCATTATTAGTATATTCGTGTAAACAGTTTGTTGGATTAGCAATTTTATTTAACTTGTATCAAGTTAGCGGTAAAACACGATTCAACCCTACTAGGCAAACGAAAAGCAAAAGGACGCCCCAAGAAAGTTAGCACAGCTTTAAATTTTTAACTAGATGTAAATAAAACTGTAAAAATATTGTTCATTTGGTTAAAGTCTCAATAAATATGTTTGTGTTATACATTATACTTTGTTGAGAAATAAACATGTGAGATGCATGCTGAGAAAAATTTGGTGATCAAAAGTATCTTTTTTTTGGTGATCATTTGTATCTAAAGAATTTGGTGATCAAAAGTACATTTACTCGTGACAATCTACCATTATCTGTTGTTATTGGATTTGTTTCAGCATTTCTCAATATTGACAATGATGGTAGTTCAACATTATAACCGTCATTATCAAACCATGTACGTAATATATGAGCTTCTCTTAAATCAATATTTATTTTTATATTTGTACTATTCACTACTGATAATGATCGTCCTAGAAATAAATAAAACACATTGGATGCGTTTTCTAGCTACTTTCATCTCAGTTCACTTATTCGTTCAATTTACCATTATAATTTGTTAATTTAATCCTTTTGAATGCAACAACTGGTTGTGTTGAACCATCAAATGCTTCAGCCTAAAAATGTTGGAAGATACAAAATAACACAACAGCCCTACTATAGCGAATGACATTCTAACTTGTTCGTTCCATAATGTTATATTAATACTTGCTGTTTGATCGCATAGTACTATTTCACGTTTTGTAAATTCTTTATTTGATTGCTTTGATACTATCTGTTGAGTATTACTAACACTTTTTACGATACCAATAACATCTTCAAAACAAAAAAGCGAAATGAGTTTATAATAACATACCGATTCATTGAATTATTCAAACAATTTACCGATTAATGAATTTGCTTGTTTTTGTTCAATTTCATTAATCGGAGTGAAATGATATTGAATTGTGGGAATATTTGTTGGCTCACTACATCGTTGTATTTCTGTGTCATGGTTAAATGTCATTTCATAATCATTATCCAAATGATTATACTGTTTGTTTGCTGATTTTAGTATTGCTTTTGAAATATAATAGACCTATAAAGTGAAAGAAACAGCACTATATTGCGTTTGTATGCTTAGAAAACAAATGAACATACTTCATCAATTTCTAAAACAGCGTATAATTTATCACATTCATCTCCAAAAGCTGTTGCACGTATTTCACCCGTTTCATCCATTAAATCACAACTAAATAATTTTCCATTACCACGTGTATTTTGAAACGTTCGTACATTTGTTTTATTCGCTACTCGAGCACGAATCGTCCATCTGAAATAAAGTGTAATAAACGTCATTTGGAAAAATTGTATTATAAATTGTATTTACTTATTTTGATATGGATTCAAAATATCAATGGTAAATATTCGATTAGGTTTTTGTCCAAATGCAGTCACTTCTTTATTCGGTGCATTTATAATGTGACGATTTCCAGTACTTGATGCAGATACTAAATTTCGAAAAAAAGGGGAAACATCAATTAGTTTAAGTCGTATTCAATGGTCATTTTACCTTCACTGACTAAATGAGCTTGTAAAACTTCTGTTGAATTACGTTCTAGAAAGAGAAAAGAAAAATTCAAGTTATTCATCGACCAGATCTATTTAAAAATGTTTTGCATCTGGATAAGAGAAAGTATCACCGTCATACTTACGATCAACATTGATCTGTAACGAGATGGGATTACCAATTTTGACTGATTGTGCTACAACTGTCAGATCTTGAACTTGAAGAACAAGCCTATAAATATTTGAAAAAGCTCACTATAATTCATTTTCCCTACTAGACTAATATCACCTAGGCATGCACCAGTATTTATCAATATACTTTTCTCTTTTTCCGAATCAGGTTGATTGAAAAGTACAAACTACCAAAGTTTTCTGACGACTCAGTTTTGCAGAGACAACGTTCTTTTACAAAATGAGATATGGTACAACTCTTCATCTTTCTCCCACAATCGATTCCCGATGAAAAGTCCGTTTAGAAGGGACATTTGGTAAACATTTTTAATATGAGTACTGATTCAAGATGGAAAGTGTTGCTATACCTTATTCTGTAGAGAAATATGTGTTCTACAAAACTAAATAATCGAAAAAAGTTTAGAAGAACATTCTGCGGTATGAAAACTTTTTAATAAAAAAACACAGAATTGCAACCGGCAAATATCGGTGCATGCCTAATATCACCTACTTTCCAATTTGACGATTAATATCTGTACAAAAAGCGCGTTCGATTCGAACAATTGAATTGTCTTGAAGTGAATTATCAGCAACAAGGTAATTTAATTGTGTTCCCAATATACACGCTAAAAACAATAATATGAGAACGACTTTAAGATATAAAATGAATGATGATCGGAAGAAGATATTACACGTACATCTTAAAAAATGTTTACCATCGGATAACTGCATACGATAACGTAATTGATCACCAGTTGTACTTTCCATTGGTTTGATTGTCTAAAGATTTAGAAGAAGTAATAAATGAACAAAAGTAAAACACTTCAGATACCAAAATACGGACCAAAACTTGAAGAATCGGTTTTTCACTTGGATTTCTGCTTGCATAACGCTACAGAAATGATAAAAAAATCATTTGTTTCGAGAAAAATGAACTGACTGAAAAATACAAACCATTAGTGCACCGATTGATAAATTATGCATTAGAAGTATTCGAAATTAAAAATTTGATAAAATTATTATCCTATCTAAACAGTAAAGTATCCCAAGTAAAACATAATTTATATCAAAATAAATAAAATTGTCTACGAGTAAGGCACGCGTAATTCAAAAATCAAGTACTATTTTATTTTTAGTTTCTTTATATATGATTCGATAGAGAATTTGAAGCTGATCACCAATATCGCCTTTTTAGCCTTCCCAGTGCACGTTTGCGCGTCGAAA